CTGGAGGTCTGCAGCCGGGCATCCCAAGGGTAGCATTGCAAAGCGTCCACCAACAGAAAGCCAGCTCCTGCAGGCTTTGGACTCTGGTGCACAGTCACTGATGTTCCACTTCCCCATAGGCATGTGACCAAGAGCGAGGAAACCCAAAAATGAGGGGAAAAAGAAGAGTGAAAACAAAGGAAAAGGAAAGAGAGCAGGGACCCAGATCCAGCAGCTTGTGCTAACTGCTTACAAGTTAACCCCTCCAAGCTCCTGTGAGCGTATCTAAGACAAAACATTGTGCCTCCCAAAAACACTATTACACAACCACTCGAAATGTGATGCAGTAAAAGGGACAGCTACAGGGAAAATATTACTACAGCCATGGCACCGATGGCCAGTCGTGTCCAGCATTAAGCAATGGTGCAGAGAGTTTCAGAAATCGGGAAGCTGCTAGAGGCAACAATTCCAGGCCCAGCTGCATCAGGTTTTATCAAAGGAAGGCCAGGTTATTTGCCGGAACCTTACAGTGGAAATTAGGAGTGTTGCACCTGGACCTGACACTGCAATGAAGCAGCAGCCTTTAATTGTACTTTCCCTTTCCTTCCAGCCTACTCTTCTGGAAGATTTTGCTTTTGTAACTGACCTATTAAAGGTGCAATAAATATTTAATAATTACATAGGTGTGTTTGGTGTTGTGCCAGCAGAAGTCATGGAGCAAGCACACTTCTGTCTCCCAAGATGACGTGCTAGCGAAGTAATTACGCAGTCTTTTGAACGCTTGGTGTAGCACGTCTGGTTAAAAGATGAGAGGAGAAGCTGAGCAAAAAAAAGGAGAACAAGGATCTTGGCCACAGTTCAGCTCCACTTACAAGGGGTGATATTGGTTAACCAAGCACTTCCTCCTGAGAGCCAAGAAAAAATGTGTGTTACCGCTCTCCCCCTCATTAATGCACTGTTTTTACAAAGTTCTTTGGAGAATGGAATCTCAAAGCACTCCAGACCTGATGAAGCTGGAAATTTTGGGCCTTGTATTAGAAGGGACCTGTTTGTTTCTTTGTAAAGAAACCTTCTGTGAACTCACCTGGGTTTACTGCATACTTTGGGTCTCCAGAAAGGAAGATGCTGCTGGCACGGTGTTGGCAAACACGGGAGCGCTCACCCATGCTCTCCAGTGTCAAGGCACTTCAGGTCTCAAGGTGAGAGACTTATATTTGTTGTGTAATTGCCTTAAATATCTCAAACTCAGCCTGAAATTTGCAGTCACCTCCTTCATGCTCACAGCCTCCGTCCTTCCTCAGGGAGCAGGACGGGCTGGAGCAAGCAGACCTGCATTTTTCCTAGGGGACCCTGTTTCTTCTTCTAGAGGACCCTGTGTTTTTCCTAGGAGACTGTGCATTTTTCCTAGGGGATGCTGCTGGATCTGTCCGCAGCCCACGTCCCCCACTGCGACAGACAAACAAGACCCTTCGAGGGGCAGGAGGGCAAGGTGCTTGTGCTGGAAGGCAGCAGCGCCAAAGAGCATCTGTCCTATGAGGAAAGGCTGAGGGAACTGGGCTTCTTCAGCCTGGAGAAGAGAAGGCTGCGAGGGGACCTAAGAAATGCTTACAAATATCTGAAGGGCGGGTGTCAGGAGGATGGGGCCAGACTCTTTTCAGTGGTGCCCAGTGACAGGACAAGGGGCAATGGGCACAAACTGAAGCAGAGGAAGTCCTGTCGACCCTGTGTTGGATGACCCTGGTTCGGCAGGGGGGTTGGACTAGATGACCCACAGAGGTCCCTTCCAACCCCTAACATTCTGTGATTCTGTGAAAGAGGAAAAGAGAAGTTCAAGGCCTGGCCAAAGCATGAAGCTGAAATCTTGCACTTTGTGGTTGCTGTGCTTGCGCTGGGTATCTGCAGAGTTGGATGTCAGGGCTGCACCAAGAGACTCCTGGAGAGCAGACAAATAGAGATTTTTGCCTTCTTGAGGACATCTGCATTGTCACAGCTTTTTGTCTGGGGAAGAATATGTGCTGGTTTCGCCTGACTGTAGGCAAATGCTGGCATGTCAGGACAAGCTGTCGGCATGCATGTGGAGATGTCTTTGAGGAAGCAAGCCACGAGGAATAAGTGCGTGTGTGGTGTCTGCATGGAGGAGGAATGCAAGCTGGTGTGTGTTTTGCTTCTGGGTGTGGTGGGATGACCCTGGCTGGACTCAGGTGCCCACCAAGCTGCTCCGTCCCTCACCCTCCTCAGCTGGACAGGGGAGAGAAAACACGATGAAAGACTCGTGGGTTGAGATAAAGACAGGGAGAGATCCACGCAGCAATCGATGTCATGGGCAGAGGAGCCTCAGCTGGGGGAAATTAATTTATTGCCAATGAAAAGTTAGAGTAGGGTAATGAGAAATAGGAACATACCTTAAAACACCTTCTCGCAACCCCTCCCTTCTTCCCGGGCTCAACTTCACTCCCAAATTCTCTCCCTCCTCCCCCTGAATGGCACAGGGGGATGAGGAACGGGGGTTATGGTCAGTTCATCACACATTGTCTCTGCTGCTCCTTCCTCCTCACTCTCTTACCCTGCTCTAGCATGGGCTTCTCTCTCCAAACGTCCACAGGTGCTGCCAGGAGCCTGCTCCAGCGCGGGCTCCTGATGGGTTCACAGCTTTCTTCAGGCATCCACCTGCTCCAACTTGGAGTCACTTCCACGGGCTGCAGGTGGAGATCTGCTCCACCATGGGCCTCCATGGGCTGCAGGGGCATGGCCTGCCCCAGCATGGTCTGCTCCACGGGCTGCAGGGGAACCCCTGCTCCTGCCTCTCCTTCTGCACTGACCTTGGTGTCTGCAGAGTTCTCACTCCTCTCTCCAACTGAAAATGCCCTTTTACGCAGGGTTTTTTTCTTCTTGGCCATGTTATCCCAGAGGGGCTACCACCATCGCTGATGGCCTTGGCCTTGGTCAGCGGCGGGTCCGTCTTGGTGCCAGATGGCATTGGTTCTGTTGGACATGGGGGAAGCTTCTGGCAGCTTCTCACAGAAGCCAACCCCGTAGCCCCCCTGGTATCAAGACCTTGCCACGCAAACACAATACACCAGGGAATAAGTCCAGTGCTTTTCATTCAGACTTAGTCTGAAATGAGTACTTGGAAATGACTGATGTATGCATTTCACCCGAGATGAGGCTGTTCTTCGTCATGTGGGTAGGACCCTGTTCATTAGAGGGTTCCCAGGAAATCATCAGAGCCCACCTGAGGACTGGCAGGTCCTGCTCAGCATCCACTGGCACAGTCTGCTGAGTTCTCTTCATTTACTTTGTCTTAAATGCAAGTTCTGTGAATGAAATACACTGAATTGGTGTGTTGTCAGTGAAGTGATGCTCACATCTGTGTTAAAAGCAGCTCTCAGTGTTGATGTCACACCTGGGTTCTTTGTAAAGCAATGTGGAGAAGTTGCAAGCTGTAATTATGCTTAGCTGCCTTCTAAAAGCTTGGTAACAGACAGAAAACAATCCATACGTGCTGGAGGTGGGCTTCTGCGGTTTCACCAAGTGTTTGCTGTGACTGTCACCATTCAGATGTCCTCACATCAAGCCCGAGTCTGGTCTCCCAGGGGAATGGCTACTGGTCTAATGCCTTTTGGCAGCGTGCTGTGGCGGAGCACGCCGTGCTGCTTGCGGGAAGCAGGGTGTGAGGAGTGCTGTGGGGAAAAGAGGGGTTCGGTTCCTCATTTCACTCTGCATCGCATTCGTATCGCAGACTGATCCAATGACAAACTTTGCTTTTGAGTACCTGATGCCCAAAACTATTTTGCTTTGTTTCTCTTTCTCTCTCTTCAAGCTTCGCCTGTGACCCTGTCTTGCTTTTTTCTTCATTCCTGACCTCTCCTGGGATTTTTTGCCCTCTGCTCACCATGCTCTGTTTCTTTTCATCTGAAAGTAAAATACTGCATTTCTGTGTAGTTCTGAATCTGCTTCTGCTTGCACAACCTGCAGGCTGAGGGACCCAGATATTGGGCCTCCAGATGTTTCTTCTGCATCAGCCACAGACATAACTGGAGACTTTGACCTTCAGCAGTGATGCATTTGCTATGGTTGATTTAAAAATATGTGATGTGGTTTGTTCGCTGGGGCCACCGAGTTGTCCAGGGCCTTATCAGGAGGGTGTGGGGCTCACATAACTCCTGTCCCTCCAGCTCTGCACCGTCCCTGGGCCGCTGCAGAGACGAATTCGGCCCCAAGGTCCCTAAGCTCAGAGGGCTGCTCCTGTGCTCTCTGTAGGAAATGGCAGCCCCCAAAAAACAGAACAGATGCTGGACATTGGCTCATCTTCACTAGCTTCAGATGGGCAAGTGTGGTATCTCTCTTAGGATCTCCATACAGCTCTTATTTTCATGCTTGTGTTGGACCCTGCAATGGGCTGACCTGGTGCCTGGGGTTGTTTTAGCACATGCGGTAAGGAGCTGGCAACATTGTGGAGGAAAAGTGATGGAAAGAGAGAGGCAAGCTGTCTTTGAGCCTCCATCTTGGTGTGTCTCAGGGCCTCCACATCACCTTATCCCTGGGGTGGCATCACATCCCTCCTGCAAGGTGGCCCTCAGAGCACTACAGCATCTCCAGATGTTGCTTTCTGCCCTTGCACCCACAGTTGTCCCTAGGCTGGGGGGTTGATGAAATTTTCAAAGAGCAGATGTGTGGTTGCCTCTGCAATCCATGAAACATGAGTGTCCTGTTTCCTTACCCAAAAATGAGAGTGCTCCATCTCTTGATGCTGGCTCCGGTCAGGGGGTGGTTGTGTGTGGGTATGAGCTAAGTTTAAAAAACATACAGTCTGTGATTTCCCAGAGGCTCATTAATAGAAATATAATCCTCACTGTAGGGAGGTGTGCACAAGCTCCCATTTCTGAAAATAGACACACAATTGCATTTCTGTATCTGACCAGGTGATGCTGAAGAGCCTGTGTTTACACTGCAGAAGTGCTCCAGCTGACAGTTTTCAAAGCAATTGTATTTTTGGATGTGGAAATTATGCAGTGTCTGACTGCAACCAATTTTAAAGGTACAGGGATGGGCGAGAAGATGGTCACCACATCCTGCAAAAACTTAGGCTCCTTCAAGGTACCTGTAATAAAGCAGTTGAAAACCAGGGCAAGAAAAATTGCTAGCCAGATCAAAACAAGTTGAGGACTTGTCTTGTGCTGAGATGCCCTAAAGCAGACAGGAAGAAACAACACTAGCTGTCTGCCTCGTGAGACATGCATCTGCTCACTTGCCTCTTCCGCACGCTTGGAGGTGGCTGTGATTCATGCTGGAACCACACACAGCCAGAGCACCAGGACGGAGGAGCCTCCCCTCTAGTCTGACTTACCCGTTGGCCATCTCAAGCCACTGCTAAATCTGAGCAGAAGAGATGCTGTAAATGGTGTCACATCCATGCTGGTGGCAGGTGTCATCTATTTCGTAAGGCTGTCATGGCTGCTTGGCCAACATGTATGTGGGGCTCGTGGGTGCATCCATATGGCCGGGGTTACCACCGGCAGATGGTACCACGGTGTACCCCTGGCCAGAGGTCACGCAGATGCTGGTGATGGTTTCCAGACATCTTTCAGCCCCAGGCGCCTTGTGTATTGGTGCGGAAGAGGACAGGGAGCCTCCGCCGGCGCAGCCTGAGGGGCGTGAGAAGACAAAGCCTTGGCCTTCCCCACTATGTGTGGAGCCGTGTAGCCCAGGCCATCGTCCTCTGTTGGGACCCTCCGTAGCTGTGGCAGTGCCTGATGGAGAGAGGAGCACTGGGTCACTCTCCACCCCATCTATAACCAGGCTGAACCTCAGCTTCTGGCTGTCAAAGGCTTTCAGGTTACTTGGCCGTGCTGCCTGTGGACCACACACCTCCCAGTCAAGCTGTGGTCGTGCACACAGTGAAGGTGCAAGGGAATGTGTGGACCTTCCCTTCATTTTCTGCTCTGTTGGAAAGATGAACGCTGCTGCAGCCGGTGCTGTCATACCAACTCCCTGCCCCATTGCAGGGCAAAGGGTCTGACAGCGATGAGCGATGCAGGGAGGCGTAGCTGCTGCTTTTCCTTCCCATGCTGCACGTTTACCTCCCCACCCCATGCATGCTATTGTGTTCTAGAGGATGCACAAGACAGCCCACCACCAGAAATCTCCAAATAAAAGAAAAAAAGCGTTCACCTGAGAGGGAGACCTGAACATCTGTATGCATGACATGAATCTCATGGGTAGTTAGTGTTTACCGCCTTGCTGGCTAATTAACAGGAACCAAACAATTCTGGTTTATTGCCATGCAATTTCTTCTCCTGGCAACACCGAAATGACTTATGAGAAGTTTCTGAGAAGCATGACACTCATTAACAGCCTTTGGGCATGCCTGAGGAGAGATGGTTCTGGATGAAGGTAATGCTACTGTCACCAGAGACAAACGGGCTGGGCACACCTACCTGGGCTCAAGTGCCCTGCTGCAAGGACAGGCATTGATTTCTTCCATGGCCACCCCATGTTTGGTGTCGGTGGATGGTGCTGGTGCAGCAGGGGTTTCTGCAGGAGAGCGCCTGGGAAGTCCACGCGGGCTGGTGGGTTTCAGCGTGGTTGTCTGCACAGTGCCTGTCAGTACCACAGGGGTGGGTGAGGCATGCTCTGCTCCAAATCGAGTAGCCCTGACTGTGGCCTGGGGGAGGTTCTGTCTCAGTCACAACGGCTCTCACATTTGGAGATTTTCTTCAGGTTTGACCCAAATTCAAGTTGCAAACTTGAACCTTGCCGTGGAGCTCAGCAGAGGCCCTTAAGTCGTGTTTCTGTTACACAACGCCAGCGTGGTAGCCGTGCTGGCTGAGCACCCTCTGTCCTAGGCTTACTCTTAGGATCGTATTTATGTATTCTCCTTCTAATGCAATCACAGCCATAGCTTTTGCCCAGCACCTGCAAAGCAGGGAAACATAGCGATGCAGAAAAAAATAGAAATGCAAAAGCTTGTTCTTTTTTGTTAAGAAATGAAAGAAAAAAAGGGTGCAGGCAGGAAATAGGTGATGCAATGTAAGGAAGGGAAAGTCAGTTTTTTGTGTTGTCCCATGCTCTAATTTCAACATTTGCAAGAGAGGCTGCAATAGCAGTGTCCAGACAAGGAGCTGATCTAGACAGGCCAATTAACGTTTCGGAGCCCTCTGAGCTCTTAACGAGATTATGGGCTCTTTTGACTCACTTCTCCTTCAGTATTGGAATAAAGGCCCAGTTTTTGTCAATAGCGTCTTACAGAAAGCATGCTGTTTTTGGGAAGGGTTGTGTGCAGAAAGAAACAGGTCCAGTGGGGAATCCCTGCTCGTGTTTGTGGGAAGCACAGTCACATTCCCAAGTGCTGTTACCTGGCAGCTTTGCTCCCGATCTCCTGCTGACAGTCAAGTCACCAGGAGAGAGGCAACGGGGTCCCCCATCCTTGCACCGCTGCAGACACCAGGCTTGCACTGCGAGGTTTGGGACACTGGTTTCAGGCTGCAATTCAGCAAAGTGCTGAAACTGTTGGGTCGTTGCAAACACCGCTTCGTTTGGCAGCTGGGGTGGACAGGCAGAATGCAAGGCTGTGGTTTGCTGCTGGGTTTGGGGATCTCTGGACCCAGGCTAGGCTTGCTTCTCGTCAGAGCGGGGCCAGTGCGCAGCTGGCTGAGGGGAGGCTGAAGGAAGTTCTTTAAAGCAGATGAAATGGAGACAACAATGCAGGGCACCCAGGTCTGGGCTGTTACATGCCCAGCGTGAAAACCAACCCCAGCGACTGCAATACCTGGGAATATTTCCAGCCTTCGTCAATCAGGAGAATCGCCCAGTGTGTATTAACTCAAAACAAAGCTGGTGTTCCCAAGAGGACTGCTGGCTGTAATTTGCATTGACTGGTCACTGGCCTTTCAGTTTTTTGAACATGGCAGGAGGCAAAGACTACTGAACTGCACCTTGCTTTTTTTGTGTGCATACCTATTCTTTTATCATGGCTGGCTCACGTTGCTTTTGGCTGCCATATAGGTTGGAAACCAGCTGATATGATACTTTGGGCTGCAAGGTGCTGGGCAGTCTCTGACACCTGCTCAGTGCTCTTATTTCTGCAGCCCTCACACAATATAAATCCATGCAGGACTCTGTAAAAACAACTCAGTCCTCATATTTTTTTTTTCTACATAGATTAAACCAAATACACCAGTAATGCCTCAAGACTGTATCTCAGACCTTCAGTAGCAAAACAGTATTTGTCAAGGTGTGGTCTTATTGGAAGGTGGATAAGAAAATTCCTAATTTAATGCCTTTGTCTATTTGGTCCTGGAAATAAACAGTAACCAGCCTTGGAGCAGGACACCTCAAGACTGTTCATGACCTGGTGTGTAAACTTTGAGTTTCTGGCTCACACCCACCCAAGAGATAGCTTCCCTTTTCCCCCAGGGTCTGTCTTTCTTGCGCCCTCAGGACTGAAATATTAGCCAGAGAGGTGTCTTTGACCTGCTTGCAGGTTTCTGTCAAGAGAACCAGGTCCAGGCCTGGAGAAGTTGAGGCTCCAATTACTCATTAACAGAGGTAGAAACAAGTGCCCACTAAATGCAGATACCATGAAGGGTTGCTGTGAAGCGTATCTGGGAGAAAACACACCACCTTCCCCCAGTACAAGATGTGTCCGCATCCCGTTTTACAGAGTCTGCTTCCCCACTCCCCGTAAGAGGCTTGCTTTTTCCTGATTTCTTTCCTGTTTTCCTTGTTTGGCACTATTAAGAGATTTGCCCATTATAAGAAGCAACTACCTCTTCCAGGTGTATACCAAGGTGGACATTCAAACAGGGATGAAAGGTCAGGGCTTTGAAACAAGAAATGCCTAGCTAATCTTACCTTAATTTCCTGGCAGCTGGCCACAATCCCGCTCCTATTTTCAATAAAAAAACATGATGATCTGTGTTGCTTGGCCCTCTTTATTAGCTGGCATGGATCTGGTGACTGGAGTAGAACAGGATTATTTTCCAAAAACTAAGGATCCTTACCAGAAAACCAAAAGAAAAGGTGTGTTTTGTATTTGGTATGTTAGTATGACCTGTTTAGTCACTGTATGCTCTGTTACCACTAAATAAAAGTGGACAAAGATTGGCAAAAATTTTAGAAGTGCACGTTGAAATCCCCCTTTCCTATGCATATCTGTGCCAGGGATGATCTCTACTGAGTAAGACCTAACTGATGCAACTTCCAGGGATGTGAAAGTAGAACTGCTTTACGTGGCCGGTATATATTTCCAACAAACCTGAATCAGTGGATATTTCGTGGTGTTCAGTGCTAGATTTGCATCCCAATGTAGCTGAGGTTTTGGTCTTGCAAAAATCAAAACCAGGAGCAGTTTGGTTCCTGTTTCCTTTTATTGCAAGGCTCCGTTGCTGGAGGACAGACAGTGACTTTAGGAAGGGGAAGCAGCCCGTGGAAATGCCTCTGTCTTCACCCCCATACATCTCCTTTGTGCCCAAGCTGCTGAATGTGTGTGACATGCAGAAATTAGTTTGCTTATTGGTCTGACCCATGAAAAGGCAGCCTCTTGCAGTCAACAGGACTGCTTTACTAGGATGAGTTGGCGAAATTTTAAATTCTTGCAGTCAGGGTGGTGGTGGGATGGTGGGGAGGTGGATTAGTAGTTTGTTTTTTATGCTGGAGATCTAATGCTGGACTTCACAAATAAAGATGACTCAGTTTCTGTTTTCTGTCACTTAACCACTGCCGAATTGACTTCAAAATTACAGAACACCATGTCTCTCATTCCTTTTTGAGTAAGTAGAATAAATGGATTTGCCACAATGACCACTAATAAGCCCAGCACTTGCCAGCACTCTGTCTGCAGCACAGAAGCTGTGTTATTTTGTCTGAGCACACTGTCTTCAGTCCTAGACTCGTAGGCAGAGAAGAGCTGCAGGATCTCCTTGAATGTGGTGCGTTTGGACAGACTGCTCTGCTGCAATTAAACCATAGCACTTGAAAACCAGCCACTCCTCCAAAGCAAATTTTCTTGACTTGCTCTGAGCTGAGAGCTGAACTTTATTTGCTCCCCAGGAGAGATCCGACTGTGGCAGGTCATTGCTGAAGCTAGCTAGTGAGAGAGGGTCGGGAAGCTTCTTTGGACACCGCTTGCGCTGTGCGTGCTGGAGACAGAGGACACTTACAGGTCTGTGGCGCTGCCAGTAATGGTTTCCTCCATGGGCAATGCACCTGGGTCCACACAAATGCTCTTCCTGCTTGCGGGGGTGGGGGGGTGGGGAGCGATTACTGGTGAAGAAGAGAGGAAACCCTGAACCAAACCCCTAGGAGCAAATCCAGGAAGAGCCAGAAGGTATTTTTTTAAAATGTACATACTTTCCCATCATCCCCCTCTCCCAAATTTTTAAACCCTTTTTACATCCTTTGAACCTTAAGCATG